GCTCACAGCAACCTCCAACTCCTGGGCTTAAGCGATTCTCTTGCCTCAGCCTCCCAAGTAGCTGGGACCACAGGTGCCTGCCACAATGCCTGGCTATAATTGGTTATAGTTGTCATTGTTTGGCAGGCCTGGGCTGGATCTGAACCCACCAGCTTTGGTGAATGTGGCTGGCACCTTAGCTGGTTGAGCTACAGGCACTGAGCCAAATCCTGAATTTCTAACAAGTGTCCTTGCTATTTTATTCATTGGAAAGACTGGGCTATTCTGGCCTTTTAGAATTTTCCACATTCTGGATGTAGCTAGCTTCTTATAGTCCTTGTATTTCCCCAAAACTAACAGTTTTATCTGGAGACTTTAATGAAACAAATTTAAGTTTTGGCAGTACTTCATACATGATGCCATGTACTTTCTATTTCATTATATCAAAAGACATAATATCTGGTTATCTTTTTTTGTGACGTCCAGTTTTTTTTTTAACTGAGATAGGGTCTTGCTTTGTTGTCCAGACTGGAATGCAGTGGTATGATCGCAGCTCACTGCAATCTCAAACCTGATCCTCCTGCTTCTTTCCTTGTTAGCTGGGGCTACAGGTGTGTACCACCATGCCAGGCTAATGTTTTTATGTTTTGTAGAGGCAGAGGCGGTGTGGGGAGGTGCCTCCATGTTGCTCAGGCTGGTTTTAAACTCCTGGTCTCAAGCAATCTTTCTGCTTTAGCCTCCCAAAGTACTAGGGTTACAGAAGTGAGCCACTGCACCTGCCCTGTGATGTCAAAGTTTATCAGTGTTTTCACATGCTGGCAGCCTGATCTTTCCATTATGAAGTGTCTCATCAGTCATCTACTCAATGCTTTTAGCAGTCTCTGATGATTAATCAGAATTCCAAGACAGAATTAAGCTGCAGAGAAGACTGAGTGACTATTTCCTCATTTATTCCGCAGATAGCATGTATCTAGTGCCTCTTTTAAGATGCACAGAAGTTAATTTACCAGATAAAATGGAGGTATCAGGGTAGGAGTCCAGCACAGGCAACCAACTACACCACATACAGCAGCTATTTGCTTTTGTAAATAAAATTTTATTGGAACACAGCCTTGCATAACTTAGAAGTCAAAA